CAATCCACAGCTCGAAGGGTGTTACGTGGCCTTCTGGTTGGGCGGAGCGATACAGGGAGCGCTAAGTCACGTGACACGTTCCGTGCTGTGGATTTGCTCCGATATCTCGTACAGTCCGTCGTGGTACATCGCAAAATAAAAGAGAGTATAGTCGCGGTCATTGAGAGGATTGAGATAAGGAAATCAGAATCTCGTCCAAATTCCTTTTGGGCGTAACGAGCCTCATAATATTTAATGTTCCCATCAACGCAAGGGTATCTTTAAGCGAAACCAAACAGCTCCGCTTGCCTTGGCCGGTCTTTCTGCATCACCGTGCACCCGGATGCACACAGTTCGGGCAGCAGTGCTCCGCGGGCCCAAGTAGGCCAGTGGGAGCAAACAACCGTTTCTGACACACAACTCACGAACCACTGCTGTCGGCAATCTCGCTCTTGCTCTCGCCTAGCCGCCAGCTTGCGGATGCAGGAAGACAGCCGCACGCAGTTCCTTCGCTCGGCTTCTGTCGTTACAGCTATTGACTCAAGTGAAAAATGAGCTGCGCGGAAAAAAAAGAAACTGTGCAGCTCTAGATCTTATTTTTAATCCTGGATCCTTAAAACGGACACGTGCCACCCCGTAATGTAACACTGAAAAGGAATAACCTAGAAGCAATTACGTATTAACGTTGAGATGTTTCGGTGCGGCTTTTTTACGGTTCCCATCTGTGACGTCACTACCAGAATTTGCCTCGCCGTGTCATCACGAGTTGTGACAATGACTATTTGGCTTCAGGGGCGAATGTAAAGTTCGATGGTGTGCCTAGAAAGCAAGATGGATTCTTGGAATCATCGCCTTCTTAAACCAATGCCGCCAATTGCGGCAGTCTTATTTTAAGAAATCGCAGCGAGTTTTTCGAAAATCTTAGGAAGTCGACCATTGCGACGCTTTTGGTAGAGCACGTCGCCAATGGTTTGTGTACCTAGCGCTCCGCCTCCAGTCCGCGTTCGTTGCCTACCATCGTGCTTTAGCCGCGCATGCTCAGAAGACGCCGAAGCGTTATCAAATCTAGAAAGTTTTCGTTGGAGGCCAAGGTTCTACTCCCCGCTCTCAGTCATATTAAGAAATGAGCCAAATTCACCAGCTGTTTACTTTTCCTGGTAACGCTAAGACTAACATTAGTACCGTACAGGTAAAAGTTTTATCGATCACGTGCAACAGTCTCTTCATTATCTGGCAGATCAAGGTCACTAAATCAAAACATCTAACATGCGATTCACGTTTTTCTTGTGGCATTTTGAAAAGAGAAGGACGCGGACGCAAATACCTCCTGGTCAACACTCAAGCTGCGGAAGCGCGCAGGCGCTCCCACACCTTGAGGTATGACTGCGTGAAGATATTTACCATATCAATATGAACATATTGGAGGTGATTTTCTTATGGACATCAGGATGTCATTCCTATCAACGCATATTTTGTGAGTTAATGATCGCCAGTATACTGGTTCATCACAGTAACGACAGTCTTGGCGTTTAGAATCTCAAGATTTCTGAAAGCGTCAACGTATAAACGTTTTCATGCAGTAAGCTATATGCAAAAAATCTTTGATGACAAAGCAAAAAAAAAAAAGGTGAAGACATTAGGAATTTGTTTAAGTAAATTACATTAGTCGCGGCTACAGGTGTGTTGATTTGTACTTATGCTTACCGCGCGGTGGTGTTTCCGAAAAGTACTGTTCTCTTTTTCGCCCTATTGTTTGGCACATTGATCAGTAACAGTTTCACCTGTAATCTACAACTGCAAAAGCGGCTAGCCCTTTCACAAGTTGCTGGGTTATCTAAGGGAACAAATAACATTAAATAACTTATGTGGAGGACAAACGCCTTGAGTGATAACTTTTTATCACTGATAGGTACTGGGGCTTCCTAGGAATAGAGGCAGCGTTCTCAACAACCATTTGCGTCATCCCCGACTTATTTGGCCTGCTCAACTTGAACGGTTAATGACAGCAGTCAAGGTAGTTTCCTGCTGCATTGTCACGATCTTTTCACGCTACAGCATTATGCTTCGTGCAGGATCTCTAATATACGTATATAGGTTATCATCTTTGCAAACGCTCGAATAATATAAAGCATTATCAGGGATACGTTTGTGCCTGATAATATATTTCACTGTTGCTAAACTAGTAATAATTAAATGAGATGCAAGCTTTTGCCAACACCGATGCTATAATATCAGCTTTTGAGCACCAAGTCGGTTAAGAGTTCCTTCCGTTGACCCTGGAAGTGGTATTCTTAGCTCTCTTAAACAACAAGACACCCCAACCAAGAAGGTTATCAATTCAGATCATTTTATGTACTTATGTGACCTTTCTTTTACGAGTCAATGTAGTTTTATGTAAACCTGTTGTAGAAAGGCACCGCTGTTATGTTCTGTATGCTTAAAATATTAGGGCGTATTTCGAATGGCCAAGACGATGGATGAAATCAAAGGTACGCGCTTTTGGGGAAATAGCACGTAGCCCCGAAGGCAGGAAATTAGCCCGACCAGTGTGACTACAGTTGTTTTGGTTGTTATGATACAAGAAAAAAAAAATTAAGATACAAATTTATTTCTTTAGGACTTACATACGCCACCTTGCGTGCTGTTGTACACAAAGTTCGATAGTTTAAATATAAGAAATATGAATAAAAAGCAGTCACAATTGAACATATCATTCATTTTTGCAGACTTAATAAACTTTTTAAACTCAGTTTCTCAAAAGTCAATGAATGTCGCAAAAGTGTCGTTTTTGTGCCTGCCAAAACATAAATGAGCTGTGTGTACATATTAGTTTCTTGTTAAATCCTCTACTTGTCTTTCAAAATTAGTACAATGGAAAACATTTTACATCTTTTCCAAGGAAACAAAGGTTTAATGTTCAAGTGTACTTTCACCAATGAACTAGAAATAGTCTATAATCAAAGTATACGCAATATGGTGTACATTTTTGTACATCGTATGACTGTATACTCGGATGAGTGCACAATCCTAAAGAAATGCACGTTAACGCATACCACTTTTACCAGACATGTCAAAATGAAACTTCGTGAGACTGCACAATAGAAGAATATTGGGCGCTTAATCTGCTTGCATGAAGTTTGTGGCTTATTTTTAACTTTTTAATTAAACGAAATAATACATTTCAAGAATATATGTTTCTTTTATATCATCCATAAAAAAACACCAGCGAAATAAACTTTTATCTAATATCGGTTCCAGGGTTTTTCGTAACGCTATAAGAGCACGACAATAGATTGCCAAAGAACAGTTATGTGGAATATTTATAGCCGAACACAACGCAGTCTTCAACTATTACATATTTGCGAAAGGCTAATACATAACTGAAAAGGATGATGAGATAACTCCCTTACGTTATTATAGGTGTTGTCTTTGACTTATGTTATTTTTTCTTATCTTAGTGATCTTTCTTGGTGATCGAATATAAAAAAAGATATATTCTTACGAAAGAATAATTTTGTTTCGTTTCCTCCAATCCCATGTTCGAAATATTTTATGGACAGTATCCCCCCAATTGTTGAGAACTAAGCACTATTGCCTTCAGCTAAGTTCATGATTGATTTCTTAGCAGGTTCCTTTCTGCCTTAACCGATTTGTGAAGACATTTCGATCAACCACTTATTGACCCTTTTAACATCCAAGTGTTATCTTCTGCCGCCTCCAAAGAGCACCATGTTCAAATGCCCATTAGGAGTAACTACAAAATACTGAATACCTACTACCTAGGTACTTTGTCGCTGTGTTATTAAAAGCATTTTAACGCGGTTTCTTTTGCATTTGTTCGTTTGTCACTCATTATGCGCCTCTTTCTGCTGCAGCGCAGCGACCTCTCCACAGCCACAAGAAAAACGAAGGCCTACCGCGCCAGTTCACGACCTTTGTCCCAGGTCGAACGGCCAATATGAGCGCACACCGAGCTTCCCACGCAGAGCGCCAGTAAAGCAGTCGAGCGCATTGCACTCTTCTCGAGCCGTGCACAGAAGGAACTCGTTTTGGGCTGCCTCGCTCAGAGCGCTTCGCTGCAGCGCCCGAGGAACGGGTGGACCGACCGAGCAACTCGGTACAGGAACAGTAGATAAAGCTTTGCTCCCCGGCATCAGGCCACTGCAGGCACTCGCAAGAGAGCGGGGAGAGCCGCCGCTTCCTGCTTTTTCTTGCTGCGAACGGATCCTCTGCTCGGCTGGCCGCTTCGCAGCAGCCGCCGACCGTCATGCGTAGGACCCAAAGACAACTGGGTGGCTGCCGCTGTGCCTACGAAACCGGGACACCGCGGGTATCCACGAGGAAGGGAGAGCGCGGCAAACGCTCTTGGCTGCTGCTGCCGCTGCGCGCTGGAGCCCTTTTAGCTTTGGCTCGAAGGAAAGGGTTTGACGCCTTTTTATGTCGTCTCGGTTTTGTTGACTGTGCGATCGCCATCGAGCGCACGTAGCTGGCGAGACGTGCCCGCTGACGGAATCGACGAAAGCGTGAGCTCTGTTCGGACGTTCGGCTCTTCTTGGGGAAGTCGTGGCCGACTTCCCTACCGGGTTGTGTTCCTAGAGTTTGGCGGGACCTGTCGTGTCAGTGCAGGTTCAACTTTCCATCGAATAACACGTGACCCTACCAAAACGTCGTAGATGAAGGCTGGAATTCAATAGTTTGAAAGCTTTAAAGTATATGGTTTTGGGAAAATACCTAGATGGCACGCTCAAGCCTCAAAGAAATTCAACGTGAAGATGAATCCCTCTTGTTGCTCACAGCACACGTCTCTGTTCAAGGAGAGAACTCTGAAGTATTTCAAGTGGGTTAGGGACAAGTCTTACTAAATTCCACGAGGTATCCACAGAACCATACTTTCTTCCACACAAGGTTCTGATGCCACCCACGGGACGTCGTGCCAAACAGGACACACAACGCGAGTCAAGACACAGGTTAGTAACACTAACGAGAAGGTCCCGCAGCCCGTGGCCGCTAAGCCTACTTACGTATGTGCGGAGCCAGAAGGTGCCTGTACTTTTTGAGCTCGTACAGCACGTCCAAGTTGCCGAGGATAGGATGCGCCGCCGTGGGCCCCGGGATCTTGGAGATGAGCTCGGCGATGCGGCGCCGCCGCGCGATGTGCACAGCCACTGGCACGATACACGAGAGTAGTAGGGTCAGGGACCACAAGACCCTGTGCGACGAGAAGGGTAGGAACCCTGTCAAGGTCATGGGGAACAGAGTCGCCTCGCCGCCCACCGACATGGCTGGGCAGTGTCTGGTCAGGGCGGGCGCCCCGCCCGTCGGCCGATTGTCCGTGGTCGACGACTCGAGCGCGACCTCCTAAGCGCCGCGCAATGTTATCCCGGGAACGCCAACCGGACGGGCACACACATCGTCGGCCGTAACTGCGGCTAGACCGACGCACACAACGGTAGTACCCGACGAAACACACTAGAGACCGAAGAGCCGACTGGGAGTCACATGGGCGCCGTCCTACTGTCGAGTTCCTGCAGTGTGCCCGGTGAGAAGAAAACTGGGCCGAAGACGACCACGGGTCCGCTCAGCAGCTGCGTACGACGCCGCACGTCCGTGGACACGGCGGACGCTGGTGGCCATTCAGGCAGAGCTGGAACTCCTCGGCACATTGCATCGACCCTCACTGCTGATCCAGCTCCAGAACCGGCGGCGTCCCGCCTAGGCAAGTTCGCTGGCACCGCGCGGTGAAGTCCAACTCGGCGAAGATCCAGATATCCGGAATCCGGTCAGGGGTGCACGTGTTGGCCGGAACGCCAATCTAACACCTGGAGGAAACCGAATGGCAGACAGTGCAACTTGTTCGGCAGGCAGTGGCCGGCGATCGCGGACCCCGGTTGGGCAAGGGACAGCTTGGAGGAGACATGCGCACAGGAAGTCTCCGGGTTCCTGGCAGCTTGCGTGGTGTGCGCAATGTTCGTGGCCTCGGATGTGCGACCCCCCCCCGAGACAACGTTCCGCCGAGTCGTCGGGGCTACTCCGCCACCACCCTGAGGAAACGCACTGTGGACCGTACTAAAAGCATTGATGTAATCCTCCAAACGGGAGCAGCACCACTGTCTGTCCGAGACGCACACGTGGCACGTGACTGCTCGACGGCCAATACGGTCGACAGGGCGTGACGTCACTGCCGAAGGCGACCCCCTCCCCCACGACTCTCGATAGGCCCTTTCGGCTTCCTCATTGACTCTCGCCGCCGTCTCTCGGCGTCCCGTTAGCGAGAAGTTTCGCCCGAAACGAAACCGAGAAAGGAGAAAATGCAAGATGGCGGCGAGAAGGAGAAAGCCGGAGAAAGTTTTCGTTGCTGGTGGTTTTTTTTTCTTTTTTTCGCCGCTGGGAACTCGCCTAAAATAGAAAGTTAGCAACGGCGAGTTTCTTTCCTCGGGCTGTAGGCCACCATGATTATCGTCCCCTTCCCTCCTGCCGCTCGTTCACTTTCTCTCACTTTCTCCTCGGATTTATTTTTTATTGCAATCTTCGCTCCGTAGCACACGTTGCTTTCGTTCTCTTTTTTTTTTTTTTTTTTTATACCTTTTTACACCTGGCTTAGGGGGTCTCTCGCTTCCAAAGTTCGGAATATTTCAGCTTCCTCCTCCAAGCTTTATTTCAACTTGGTTTACATTTTCCGGGCCTGCAACTCTCGCCCTCTCCCTTTAGTCTCCTCCTCCCTCTCTGTTGCTTAGATCACCTACGCCCATAAGAATTTTTGTTTGTTTATCTTCACACGCGAGACTGAGGGAAGCGACGACGAGAGACAACGATATGAAATAAAAGAAAGAAAATAAAATAAAGAGGAACTCTTACGTTGTGAAGATGCGTACGTGAGCTCCATCTCGTTCGTCCTTCGCGGTCTTCTTTTTCGCCACGTCGATCTTGCAGCATCCCCGAGGAACGTTCGAAAAATACTAACAAATACAAAGGCGATAGAACGAAGACGTGACGACGAATTTGCCTCTCACGATTTCGTTCCGTGAGCTAATGATCAGTCAACCGGCTTAGCTACAATTTCTTCTTAGGCAACGGCGTGTTTTAAACTACATGCTTTTTATCGTTCCTTTTTCCGGGCAACATTCAGCCTACCTTTATTTTGACTAAACTTATCTTTTCTTGATATCGTTTCGAATGTTGCCGGATACCCATGCTTTTGGGAATTTTTGAGATGGCTAGGTTTTCATTTTGTTTCCTTTTTATTTTGTCAAACAGCACGAGTGGCTTACACTACCAGCTCTAGAAACCGTTCATAAGTAATTCTGAATATTTTCCCCCATAGAATAACATCTGAATACAAGTGACTATACTTAAAAGATCTGTGCAAAAACGTTCATAATTAAGACTTTTGATTTTTTCCCCTCGTTCAACCGCAATGTCAATGAGAAGTGATTCCTTCCTCGTTCTACTCAAGGAAAGGTTTCCTTATAACACAGAATAGATATTTTGCGCGATTGCGTAAGACATGTAACGGGCACACATATAACATTTGAAACATGGCTTCCAGAGGCATAAAATATCGTTCTATGAGTCTAAAAGGAGAAATGAAAGTTTTATTTCTAACTTGATATCCATCCCAATATCTATAAACATAGAGCTAATCTTGCTCCGCATAGTCAAACACTTAATCCTTTTGATCGTTCATTGATACGTATAATATTCCTAATTGTTTAACCGAAATCGAGAATTCGTGACGAAACTTAGTCCTCCTCAATTCGTCTTTTTTTTTTTTTTTTTCTCCGGAGATCTTTCTTAGTCCGCCCCGCTTTGGTCAGACCTCCTCCGCGACCTCATGCAAGGGACTGAGCTACGAAAGCGCCATCAACAGCCGCATTAGCAGTTGTCCTTTTCAACCGAGGGATGCCGGCAGCGGCGCTAGACATTCTTCTGGTAGCTTTACCTAGTCACTCATGCCTGTCGGGACGGGGGCGTATAATCTTTGTTCCATTTCTATGGCCAGCAGGACGGCTTCGTAAAAGGAACAAGTAAACACGCCGAGGTTTGGGCGTTCGGAAATACAAAGGTGTTCGCTGTTCGCGGGTCGTTTCCGTCCCTCGGTAGCGTGTTACTGTTGATGATGTTGTGGACCGCGCTCTTGTTGCTCAGGCGACAGGAAGGCCGTTATTCGCTTCCCGCCAAAGTCCAGGCCCTCTCTCTCGCTCTTTCCGGGTGTATGTGGGACTACCGACTTTGGTTGGTCGGCAAGGTTTTGTTCTTTCTGGTGGAGCGCACTCCGGTATTCTGGTAGCCCAGAGAACGTTCGCCCCTTTTCTTTGTCTTCGTTTTGCAACACGCTGGCATTGACGCAATGGAGGAAACCTTTGGCGATTGGAATGGATTAGGCCGTATCGCTCGAAAAGAAATTTTTATTTTTATTTTTTTCTTGTTTCGCACAATCGGGTCACGGAGGCTCTGGCAGTCAATCGTTTATTAGTTTATTTATTTTTCTTCTTTACGGTAACGCCTTCACTTAGCCGATCTGCAGAAAGTATTCAAAACGCTCTATCACGAGAGAACACTAGCCTCAGAACTACTGTAGTGAGTTGACAACACCAATTACTTTAGGTTGTGTAGCCCATAACGCTACGCTCTGTACAGGAGATGAACATTTCTGTCCAAGATATGACTTAACAAACCAAACGTGAGGCCGCACGTGAGCTGGTGTAAGTTCATGATTGTAGAATTACCCGAGTCTACGGTGACGACAGAAAAATGACACCAAAGACTCGGGTAATTCTACAAATATGACATAAATATTTTGATAGACAAATCATTGCCTGACCGATTAGCTAGGTCATGTGGCTGTGACGTCGTGACTCTATCGACCAATCAGACTTTTCGCAACTTTTCTGTGACGCCACCAGCTTCTCTGGCACGCCATTGAGGTCGGCGCGACACGAGCTCCCTAATCTTATCGCTTTAAAAATCTCGCACCAAAGAACCACATCGAAAACCTAAAGAGAAAAGTCTTACGGCCACAAAGATTCCAAAAAGTAGAGGTGCTTGCGGTTGCCTTATATACTTTCTTTACTTACTGGCTACCTAGGGAAAAAGCGGCACTTATATTTTCACATATGCTTTGCGTAGAACTCATTGTTGCGATGTATACAACTTTTCCAAAAGGGCGCAGCCATCTTGAATGCCGTTACTTTCAGTATCGGCTAAAACAAAGTTTTGCCGTCGCCACGCTCATAGAAGACATCCAGGATAACTATAAAGGTAACACTCACACATTTTTGTTTTGCCTCACCTCTATGCTTTTACCAAGTTAAAATGATGTATTCTTTCTTTTTTTCATCGCCCATGCCATATATGTCTACCAGGGGGCTGTGGATAAAAGTAAACGAAAAAATGTGTATAGAAGAGCCTTACAAAGAAAGGAATACGGAAAATGTTTCATTCCCAAACTTTGACTTCTATTAGATTTTTGTTCGTGGGAAACGTCGGGATCTGTGTCGCAGCTCAGGTAACGTTTTTATGTTAGAACGATATAAGTGCCTCGTTTTCGCTGGTCTCACTGTGTAAATCTCAGTCATCGTCTTTTTGCATGATTCGTGTCATGCTGAAACTTGATGTCGACAAGTCAGTAGCGGTTGAAGACGATGTGCGTTATAATATATCGTATTGCTGTGACAACTGAACAATTTTTATTCAAGTCCTTGGAAATCGCTCATGATCGCGACCAAACAAAACTTATTGGCATCTCAGTGTTAGCGGAAAAGCCAGAACGATTGGACGTGCCTTTCGATTTGTATGCTCATATTTTCACAAATATTCGCGTATGCTTTTTGAAATGTTCACTGTGACAGTAAACATTTCAATATTCACTGTGACAGTCACAGACATCAATTGTGGAACTAAGCGCATTTGGTCCCTTCATCGCCTGGGCAGACCTCAGTTGTCGGCGCTTCGAGTGTTCGATGAGAGAGTACACGCACGGGAGTTTTTTTAGAATGCTTACCAAGAGATAATAGAGTAAACAAGTTTTCCAAATGCTCCAAAATAATTTTATTGTATACTTATGTTTACGACCGTAATTGCCATAGTTTTGAAACAATTAAATGGAAAAAAATTAAAGTGTACCGGTGTCTTTTTTATTTTTATTTTCTCAACAAATCGCATGGAAAAAGGGGGTCTTTCTCGATTGGAAAGAACTGGAAATGTTTATTCTAGGGTTTTGGCAAATTCCCCATTACATTTCTCGGAGACGATAAAACGTCGGGATAACAGCGGTAATTTACAGTAAAATGTGCAACCCACGGTACATATGCTAAAGCTTATAGGCATTTTCGTTGTCATTTTCATCGCTGTAAAATGTAACCATTTAATGGCGATGCAAATTTATATATTTTCACTCGTGTGCTATTTTATTTTCTATTCAGATTTCGAAGAAATATTTTATATATTTACAGTGAAGTGTGATTGTCGTTCATAGGTTATAAAATTTGCTTACAAAAGAGAAGAGTCTTATCTGTAGCTTTTGAACAACCGTGAACATAAGAGAGCCAGCATTTCTTTCTATTTCGGTGCCACTTCCCTTAGTAACAAGAAACAAGCGGCGCCCTGATCCGAGTGATATCCAGCGACGCAATCGTTTGTTTCACACAATATACTCTTCATCAACGCAGCCTATTCAAAGAGGGGAAACAAGTGACCGCCCCTTGAACTTAAGATGTGAACATCCGATGGAAGGCGGCGACGGGGTCAACATAACAAATATTTCAGCGTCGTCCGAGTAGCAGCAGGACGCCGAACGTTTCCTCATTTCAGAATGCCTTCAGCGCAGGCGTATACGCTGTGGGTTCGTAATTTCCTCAGCCCATGCCCGACGCTTCCCCTTCAGGTGCCATCTTGCCAGAGTGTATGTGTCGGCTCGTGTGTGTGTGCGTGTCTATGTTCAGTGCGCGTGTGTGTGCATTTGTCTTCATGTCTGTGCATGTGTGTAGGTTTGTGCGTGCGTATTCGTGCTCAATGAGCTTGTGTGCGTGTCTATGTGCGTGCGTGAGTGCATATGTGTGTGAGTGTGTTCGTGCGAGTGTGTATGTATCCCCGGGCGGCCAAATAAAAGAAGTGAACAAGTAAAAAAAATAGAGAGAGAACTGGATGAAAACGACAATAGTAAAAAAGTTCCTCCG